TTCTTTACTTGAATATTTCCATTTTCTTTGTGTAATGGGGTCTATATTTTAAAAGGATTTATAGAAAAATAAATTCTCCAAAACATTTGTCTCATAGTCGTAGCTACTTTTCAGGTCAAGATTGAAGATAAAAACTTAAAAGTATTGCTTCAAATATGCAAAAAATTAAACCAGTGTTTCCCTGCATTCCCTCCTAAACCTTGCAGATAATTGTATTTGAACAAACAGGTAGACCAATAAGCTTTACTGTATATTATAACAGTCATAAAAAAATAAAAGTGTTCATAAAGGTTTGAAACAAACTTACTTTAAACCACATTTCTGTACAGATTTCCCTTTATAAAGAGCAGACCCCAAGGTTGGGAAACTGCACCGTGATATCTTAAGGTATATAAAGAACAGAAAAATATCTTTACTAATATCTACAACAAAATGTCAAAATACATTTTTGAATAGGTAGAACTTCTCTGCAAACTGTACTAAAGCTGAAAACAGACATGGTGATTCATTTAATTCTGTTTTCTTTTGACCATGTGTAAAAAGTTTTTTTTTTTTTAAATGTTGTCTTGAAATAAAAGAAAACTTCTACTGATTTTCAGATAACATCTTTTTTTTATGCAACAGTGGCTGCAGTCAGCTTCCATCGAATCTGTACTTTTACTTTTGTAACATATAGGACCTGTTCATGTGATGAAATATTAAAATGTTGCACTGGAGGGCTGCAGAGTGGTGCAGAGGTTAGAGCTGTAGCCTTGCAGCAAAAAGGTTCCTGGTACAGTTCCCGTCAGAGAACTATCTGTGTGAAGTTTGCATGTTTTCCTTGTGCAAGCGCAGACTTCCTCCCGTAGTCCAAAGTCAGGCTTATAGATCCGTATAGGTGTTTGATGTGAGTGTGACTGCTTGTTTGTCTTTCTATGTCAGCCCCGTGATTGACTGGCGACTAGTTCAGGGTGTATTCCACCTCTCTCACAATGCCAGCTGGGATTGGCTCCAGCCTCTGCGACCCTGAATAAGCAGTAAGGGTAATGGATGGGATAGATTGATGGATACCTCTGCTTAAATAAAGGATCAGAGTTTTCATTCTACCACTGCTTGAATATGTTTTGTGTGTGTTACCTGCCATCCATAAAAGCTCAGATTTCGGCCTGAGGCATTAAAGCAAACTTTGTTTTTTTTTTAATGAAAAAGACATATGGGAAAATAAAAGGCTTTTGGTGGCCTAGTTAGGGAAAAGAAGTGATTATGGTTGTGTTTTGTCTCTGCAGCAGCCGCAAAGCAAGAGTCCACTGGGAGAAGCTGTTGGGGGAACGGTCACAAGCTGAAAGTCTCGATCAATAATTTTCCACGAGACACATAAAGCCAAAGAGGGACATTTCCCTCTGTGAGCGAGCATATAGGGAACTCGGGATCAACCATATCAGGCGATATACTTCCCAGAGAGGCCATCCAATGTCACAACAAAAAGAAAATCGGCTTTTCTGTAACCCAGCCTGTAAAATCAGTGGCATAAAAGCGCTGATATCCATCAATCATTTGGGGCATTGACACACCCATCATCACAGAGAAACCAGGGCGCTGCAGTGAAACCAGAGAGGCCTTTAAAGTAGGACATGAACTATTCATTCTGTTGTGATACGCCAACACCTATCAGGTGTGATACAGGCCGTACTGATTTCACCTGGCTCCTCCTCGGCTTGTCTTTACAGAAATCACTGCTGGCGGAGGTGAGAAAAACGAGGAAGGAGAAGAAGAAGTCCAACCCTTTAAGAGCCATCACACAGAACGCCCCGAGGGAAAACTGGCTCCATGAATATTTTATGAAGGTATTCCAGTTCAGGGATAATTCTTCAGCCGTTTCAGAAGCTGCCAGGACCAGAAGGGATCGCTGTACCATTTAAAAATTCATCAGTGTAGTGGTTTATTAATTGTCCCCCCTGTAATGGTTTTGTTGTATAAATGACACAGCATGAAGAGGCCTCAGCCAGTTATTATCTAAACAGCCTGTGTGTACTCCTTTTATTTAAGTCCCCTCTAAGGAACAAAAAAGCACCCAGACAGCAGCACAAGTCATACACCTACCTGTTAGCTAAAGGCCCCTTTTGGTTGAAATGTACTGGTTAAACTCATAGACTGTATAACACATGGACATAGTCTCAGTGATGTCACCCAACGGGTCTGGTAGAGGCATTTTGAAGTTGAATGATAGCGGTCTTTGTACTGGAAATCTCCACCTAACTTCCATTAACTTAGTAACAGACAAAGAGTTGAGATTAAGGCGGGCCTTAGGCCGTCTGCTAAACAGCTACAACATGCCCACCTGTCAGTGAAATAACTTCAAATGTAAACATAACTCTTCCTTTATGTGATCAAAACACGAGTTCTTAAAAAGATTCATCCACCGTACGGTATGAACCAGTAAAGACATTAGCTATTCAGACCAAAACAGTTTTTTTGTACCATGCTGTACACATGTTCAATTCTGCTTAACATGGGTCTTAATTTAGCTTACTGAGCTTTTGGAGCCAGCCTCAAGTGGACACTAAAGGAACTGCACTCTTTTGCGCCTCTGCAGTGGTTTCATTTTTCAACAACAGAGTTTGCCGCTTGGTAAAAATTCCTCTTTTTGTAGTTTTTTAAGGTGTTGCCTGTTATGGCTGAGATGAATTGGAGGCCTCATGATTTACAAAGATGTAAATAGTTCAAACGAAATAACCAGGATTTTTGTGACACTATCTTTTTTTGGGGAATATGCCACCAGATTTGCGGTATATTTAGACAAAGACCAAATTTCTTAAACAATGTCTGGGTTTAATAATGACTGCAATGAGCAGATTAGCACAAAAGTGTCGCAGACGTCCAGTCTCCATTGGAAGCCACCAAGCTATGATATCACTGGCACTTCAATTGGGAATCAGGAAGTCAGCCAGACAGTGGGATGAGTCATTTATTTAAGTGTATAAAACAAGAAAATACAACAGTTCCTGTCAGTGTTTAATAACACTCACAATTTTCAGTCTCTCTCTTTTTCTACCTTAACCCATGCATTGTCTCAACTCTCACACTTCACGGTGCTTTATGCATAGTGCCAAGTTTACAACACCACTTACATAAATTAACCACATGAAATTGGCAACAATCCATGATTTATTATTCAAACTAACTAACTACAACATCCTTCACCAAAAACATACCAACACAACAAGTATTTACAGATTATAAACCATTGCAATCGAGGTTACACTCACATTCAGGTTGCCAAAAAGTCAATATGCATCTGTGGTCTAGATAAAATGAGACTGTAGGGAATAAACCTTTTTATTTTTTAATAGCGCTGCCTGCGTCTGGTATCAATAGAGCGGCTCAAAAGCAGGAATTTAAGATCTGATCCCAGCACAGCAAACTGACAAGTAACAGTGTGATGGATATTTCCTGTGTGGTTGTACTCATCAATTGTTTACATTATGAATTAATTTAACAATTAATTTCTGCAATAATTAATCATCATCAGCGTAGTGGTTAATGTGCTCGCCCTATGTACGGAGGCTGTAGTCCTCCAATCATGCGGCCCGGGTTCGAATCTGACATGTGGCTCCTTTCCTGCATGTCATTCCCCAATCTCTTTACCCCAAAAAACACCAATGGGGCTTCATTTGAAGATATTTACTGGAATCATTAAACCCAAAGATCCTCCTTTTGAGAAGCTGTAAGCTTTTTTATTTTTTTATTTTGCTTGAAACAAATACCAAAATAAAGTTCCATTAAGTTCTACAAAAAATAAGCAATGCAAGCTTAACAAAAGTAGTGTTTGAATGAAGGGAAACTGTGTTGCATTGAATTGTATTGTGCAGTTTATTCTGTCAGTAACTTGAGATTTAAATGTTACAGTACTGGTAGCGATTAGTCTAAGTTAAATCTGCATGCACTTACTAAAACAATTCAGTCCTCAGTTTCCATATAAGCACTCATTGTGAGAGATGTAAGCAGTAATATGGCACCTCATTCTAGATGTTGTGTAAATGTGGTGGATATGTCCTTTTTTCTTTTTACCAGAGGGGAGTTGGGGGATAACACATTACTAGTTTCAAACAGATTAACAACAGACATGTTAAATATTCAGCCTTGCAAACTTAAAGAAAGAGTCAAACATTTTGGGAAATGTATTCTGTTAGCTAGCTTACAGTAATGCATTCTGCTAAGCTTAGTACTAACTAAAAGTCTTAAAAAGCACAAAAAAACACCCTGTTTTTTGTACAGATTACACACATAACATAGCATGCTAATTGGTTAGCTTAAGATGTGAAGAAAGATGACCTCTGTTTCTCTTTGCACAGAGCCTGGCTAGCTGTTACCCCTTATTTCCAGTATTTGAAACTTTGAGTGGATTTCAACCTGAAGATAAAACATGGAGTTGCCTGTGGGTCACCACCTGCAGGGTTAGGCATGGGGGTCAGGTGCATTGCAGACCGTGGGTCAGGAGAAGGCGATGGCCTTGGTGTGCTGATCCCTGGCAGTGTAGACCGGCTCTCGGTATGTGGAACATTATCTCTCTGCAGGGGAAGGAGTCGTAGCTTTTGCGTGGAAGGTAGAAGGCTACTAACTAGATGCAGTTGGGCTCACATGTACGCAAAGCTCTAGTTCTGACATCAATCTCCTGGAGAGGGGCAGGGCTCTCTCCTTTTCTGGAGTTGCCCAAGGTGATGGGCGCCAGGTGGGTGTGGGGTTACTCACTAGCCCCCAGCCAGAGAACCGCTGTGTCTAGATTCCCCCCGGTGATCGAGAGGGCCTTTGCGCTATGTTAGCTCCTTTACAGCCAGTTGTAGCTTTATTAGCCGAGCATGATAAAGGTGTCAGACTTCTGTTTTATTCTGAATTAAAGTCAATAGGCTTATTTTCCATAATGTTGAACTATTCCTTTAACAAATAGTGAAATATGCACTGGAATTGAAATAGAAAAATCTCCACTGAGTTTTAAAAAAAAAAATCTGATGAACACTTGGTTTTTAATTCTTGTTACACTTGCTGTAGTAACTAAATATGGTGTTGTCTATCCACCTGCGGAACTTGGACACAGCTGTATAGACTCCAGGGAACTGAGCATCTCCACATCCTATCCCCCAGGACACAATGCCATAAACCCGTCCCTCACACACCAACGGACCTCCAGAGTCACCCTGAAACAGCAGAAAATACATTTTACTTAATGTGTTTCTGTAAATACAAATATAAAACAGAGCAACTTTTCAAATTGACACATATCCATACACTCGATCAGTGCATCCCAACCTATTCCCTGGAGCTCCCCGTAAGCTGGCTACACACTAAACAATTTAAGGCCCTATTTGCAGATCGGGCTTCCTCCAACAGAATGCCCTCAATGAGAGCGAGCAGACCACATGTTGCATAATTTCACAGCTCACGAACATGGCAGCGAGATATATTATGTCTCATGCAAGACGTACCAACTGATGACGTTGATCGCCCTCCATATTTGTTTCCTTTCAAAAGTGACGTTTAATCACGTGAGACTCTGTGTGATCTTCTGTCTGTGCAAACGCCACTGTGAAATCGTTACTTAAATGGCAGGTGTTTGGTTTGTGGTCTGGCCGAATAGTCCAGTAGTGTGTACATTTAGAGGACCATAATCGATTTAGAAATTGGTTAAGAGTGTCTTTATGTTTTTGCTCTCCCACGTTATTAGAATAGAAGAAGAAAAATAGAAGATTTGAAAAATAGTTGCCCATACAAAACGCTGTCTTGTACTTTTTTATAGAGTTTTTTCTACAGACCTTTGTAAAAACTCTACAAAGTGTCTAAACATTACTTTAGTTAACATTTTCAAATCTAATTGTGACAAACTAAGAGCAGACAGAGCCTTGTGCCCCCTCTGAGATCTTGGTTGGGAACCAATAAACAAGAGAAAATCATGTATTTTTACCTGACAGGCATCCTTTCCACCTATACTGTAACCAGCACAGAGCATGTTTTCTGTTATATGGCCGTCAAAGGACTCGCTGCTGTTGCATTGTTGCGTTGACACGATGGGGAGCCTCACGGTGTGGATGGTGGAGGGGATCTGGCCTCCACTGGGGCTGGTGTATCCCCATCCTGAGACTCGACAAATTCTGCCCACCGATATGGAGGCGCCGTGTCGGGGTAACAGAGCGATGGAAACGTAGCTGTTCAGGTAAACGGGGGCCTTCAGCTGGAAAGATTGTGGATAGTTTTATGAGAAAACAGGCTGACTCAGAGTGAACACAATGATTTCAGTCTTGGATGGAGTAACACCTTAATAAAGATGCAGTATACCTTTATGAGCATGATGTCACTGTTGTTGGTAGTGTTGTTGTAATCAGGGTGGGGAACCAGAACTTTGGGCAGGATTTCTTGCTCTGTGCCTTCAAAGATGGTCAGAGAGTAGTCCCCTGCTACTATCACGATATTTTCAACCCTGCAACAGACCATAACAATATTAGAGATAGTTATTTTTCTGGCTATTAAACAATATCCATCAATAATAATTTAAAAACATTTAAACACACTTTCAATCTTACAAAAATTAAATGTTGGCCTCTTTACTCTGATGCCATCCTCAGGGTAGGAAGCAATGATTGACTACTGAATTGCAGGTTCTCAAATCAAATGTTAACATAGGCTAAATATCAATTTAAATTATTTGATAACTTATTAGCTGCTCACAGCTAGTGCAAGTGTTAAACTATAGACTGTATATAGAATGGAAATCAAACAAGAGGGAGAAAGGTGAGACAGATAATTTAAAACTCCCCCTGCTGGCTTTTTGCAGTATATGCCATAAACCCCTCCATGTTGACAGACGGACAATGGGGCAAACTTTAAAATACCGGGACAGGTCAAATACATTTTTCTCAAACATGGTTTCTGTCCTCACAGTTAGCTCTTATTATGGTAATGTATGTCCAAGTGTTCACTTTTAGGAGAAGCATCCTCTTAATTAGTTTTCTGAAGTGAAAAAGAGCGAGTCAGTGTCATAATTTACAGTTCTGTTGACAAATGTGTCTCTTGACATCAATCTGACTGATTAGCAGAGTAGAGGAGGAATGCATGAGGAAACATAACAAACACAAGACTCTTTAAACTTTTTACATCTGTGTCTGCTTCAAGCCGAATAAAAAAAATATTTGTTGTTGTTGACTTTTCCCGCCTTGAGAGCCGCTTTAAGTTTTATGGAATAAATGTGTGCGTTGGCCAGAGGAGGGCCATCAATTCCCCAGCTCCACCAACCAGATCCCTTCTGCCTATGTCATAGCTCCAAATGACATGACCAGCGCAATATGTCAGCGCCCAATGCAGGGGTATTTTGACTTCAATTTTGTACAACAGAGGGACATGGACATTGAGGTCACTTTGGACATCCATATTCATATATATTCTGTGTTAAACCAATATCTAGCAAACATTACTGTAAGCTAGCTGACATGACAACAATTTTTCTTTGATCATATTTACCGGTGAGAAGCTTATGATGTCATAAGGCAATATGGCAATTAGTCGAGTATAAACACATCAGAGCGAGGGCAGACACCGCCTTTCAACTACGGCTCTGATTGGCCATCATAGACTTAGAACAGTGAATGGAAGGTTGTAATTGGCTAACTGAGTTGTCAATCGAAAGGTCAGAGTGTGGTTGTCATTTTGATGAATCCAACCAAAAAAAGTATTCATAAAAATGAATAAATGCAGAAAATAAACTGGAAACTTAAATTTAATGCAATCCGTTGATCATACCGTGTAACATTATCAAACAGGAATATTTAGGAATGCTGACACTAGCCTATTTGATGACCATCTCCTGTTTGTTTTTCTCGGACATGTGTTTTATTTTTAGGAGGGGACAACACTGAAATTTGAGAACTCATAATCCAGTTTCTGTAATTTAATAGAGAACAGTTTGTTCATTTACTGTGGGAACTCCAGCCTGGATTTGGCATCTGGAAAATTATCCAAATTATGATTGCTTCCTTCTGAGCCTAACTGTTAGTTATTAATGAAAAGGTTTACGGTTTCAGTGAGCCTGAAGCCAAGAGAGATTCATGTGTCAGATAGCAAGACCACAGAGCATCATTGTTGTTGGGGAACTTGTATCACTTTCACATTTCTCGTTTCACGTTTTCTTTCAATACTCTCTAAATGGAATATCTTGTATGACTGGAAATTACTTGATCCTCCATTCACACAAACACACACAGACCTCAAGTTGAGGTCACTTTGGGTCAAAAGGCTTTTTTTTTGCTGTGTACTACTTCCTTATAACTCAGGACACAAAGCAGTACAGCAGACTGTGCCCTTAGAAGTGATGAAAAAGTTTGTACATTTTGTATGTGATTCAAAACTTTTACTCTCACATGAGGTCAATCAAGTAGAAAATTCCGCTCACCCGATGTTACAGTGTGCCGCTGTGAGTACCCAGTACTTATTTATCAAGGAGCCTCCACAAATATGCTGACGCCTTGTCGTCTGTATCGACACAGTGTACTTGATTGAATGTGGAACTGGTGCGTATCCTCCCACTATACGTCCCTGTGCCTCCTCTTTACCTGTGGCACAAACAGAGAAATAAAGATTGGGCTTTAGCGACAGAAGCACATGTTACAGTCCATAAGGTCTGTGTAGAAACGACACAAAGCTAACACAGTTTTAACATTATTACTACAGCGGCAGAGTCAGCAGGAACAATGAGAGTCATAAAGTGGACAACAGTTGAAATCATTGATCACAGGCTTCTGGATAAGTCAATCAATACAAAGCAATCTCATCTGTGAGGCACAATGATTCACAGTGAGGATGACTCTGAACATCATTACCTGATGTTAACTGTTTGCAGATGACGCACTCATTTCCGTTGACTATCTGCTGGTTTTAATCTTAAAACGAACACTACTTGAACAATTTAACGACTTTAAGTAGTTTCTGAAATGTACCACAGGGAAATTTAATGAGGTGTCTTACAGTCTTTATTGCCCTAAACTAATCTTAGAAGAGCACACTGTTTTCCAAATTGTAAAAAATGTTCACATGGTTGATCGTTATTATATTGTTGTTTTTGACCTTTAACAGTTTTACTATTTTGATTTATTGAATTAAGTACAACATATTCTTTCTTTTCTTTTCTTTTCTTTTAGTAATTGCATTGAAAATCTTTTTTTAGTCTTTTGGTGGCCATTTTTTCTCTGTTTGACATCCTGTGTTTAGTCAACTGCTTGTAGAGCGCTTTGAAATTAATTTGATTTGTTTAAAGTGTATGGAACAGTACATTTCTATATATGAAGGATTATACTGCCTTAAAGCGTACATCAAAGTGACAGAGAGCCTGTTCTCATACAGAAAAGCCGTCAGGGATGTAACAACACCCTGTCATTATTGTCCCCGATATTGATCCTGGTCTACAATTAGCTGCAGTGGTGCGTGTAAAGAGCAGAATGGTAACTCTATACAGTACACACAGCATGCATTGGGTGTGTGTGAGATAAACGCACACACACATAGAGGTGCTTCAGAGAGCATTATGTAATGACCTTGGAGCTGAACTTTGAATAAAAGGTCTCTTGTTGTGTGTCATGCAAGCTGAATTGTAAAGAATGAAAATCACAAACAGCTTCCAGATCTCGTACTGTATCACACTCCATTTCAGCAGTAAAGTAGTTTAGCAGCTTCTCAGTCTCAGATTCAAGACCTGTTAAAGATATTTACCGGGGTCTTCTTTCATGTTTTGTCTTGGCAACATAATTGTTTGGCACACAGGGAGGCGTGGGCCACAATTACAGATTGTTATTTCACTTTTATACTTTAGCTTTTGTTCCTGAGGTTTCAAATGATTCAAGTAAAGAACTACCATACTGTATTAATTGACCTTTTACACTTAATTTCTAATGTGGAAACATATGTTTACTGTGAAAGACAAAATGCATGTTACAGGCATCTTTAAACTTGTTACTGGTTATAAGATAAGATAAACCTTTATTGATCCCCCATTGGGAGAAATTTGGTTTCTACTAACAGCTCAAAAAAAGAGAAATGCAATTAGCAAGAATTAGCAGTGAGGTAAAAACAAACATATTTACAGTTATTAAATGATGATAAAGTTTAACATGAAGGTTTGAAATCTATACAAACTTCAACCTTTATTTACTAAATCATAGAAGTATCACCCAACGATTTACCTTCACTGAGTATAGTCCATTTTTCATATTAAGCACAATTTGAAATGTATCAACAAGCTAGTCTGAAATGATTTGTCAGCATGTAAACAGGGGGACGTGGGGAATGATAACTGGAAACACAACACCAGAGATCTAAATTTGAACCACAGCTTTTTCTATAAAGACAGAGAATCTTTGCAGCACAGGTTAGCAGCTGGTTTCAGGAAAAGCAGACAAGAGTTAAATTCATTTTTGGTGTGTATTCCATTGTTTTTAGTGGGTTTATTTATGAAACTTAAAACTGTATATCTCATTAAACAAGTTAAGGTTGATCTGTTGGAGCAAGAGCTAAAATGTAGCAATAGTTAAAAACTCATTCACAATCCTTTTTTTACTCTCTTGAAACTATGTGAATCTCCGTCTTTCCATTTTCCTTTAATTAAAAAAATCAACATTTGCCATTTCTCTTCTTTTTTCCTATTTCTGCTGCGAGTGTGAGTGTGAGTTAAGATTTAAAGCAGCAAGAAGCACTCTCAAGTGCAAATGAAATGTCAGAGTCAAACTTCAATGTCAAAAGATCATTTCAAAGGAGCATCAGGACTCAGAGTGCCACAGAGTACGTCTAGAGGATTTTAAAACATTGATAGAATGGATGTTAATAACTCATCAGATGGGACGTCAGCCCATTCTAATACAAATTTAATTTTAAGAACCCAAACCTGGGAGAATAGTGTTTTTTAAGGATGTTAGATACCATAGTGTGCAGCTCAACTTCCTGCCTTTGCAACACAGAGGCACATCTTCACTCACAGCGCTTTCATGCATACATAAAAACTCTTTAAAATATCAAGATTAACTCATAAATAGACATTAAAATATCACCACAAAGTGGAACACTTACAGTACACAGCCAGGGCTTTTAACAGTGCACACAGCAATAAAGATGGCAGCTCCATTGAGAAGACAAAAGGAAGAGGTGTCTACACGCGGAGAGTAACTTCACCTGTGTGTTACCTGTCTAATCTTAACAGCAGAACTTCACACCTGCACTCTCAGGTTTCTTATAGTTTCTATTTCAGTTTCCATGGGCACCACCTTTCCGGGAATGATATATAATTGAAGCTTCCACGGCACGGCCCCTTTTTCTCACCTCTTCCATGACCTACTACTATACTACACGTTGTCATTGTTTATGTAATCCTCCAGTAATGAAGGTCCATTTACTGTCCCTTAAAGGTGAAGGATACACCACATTTATTGTGTTGTCCTCATTCTCCATGTCATGTTATTGTACAGTTACGTTGGTGCTGCATCCTTGTCAGCTACGTTTAGAGTATTTGACATATTTCAGCTCATTGTCATTGCACTCCTTCATTTCTGCATGAAGCTAAAGTCTACCTTGAGTCTATCGTTTCACCCACACCGTAATCTGAAACTTAAAGTTAGGCTTTATGCCAAAATCAAACCAAACAGTCAACATCAATTTGATTTATGAAATGAAAACAGAAGCTTAAAAGGATGCCTGAGATAGGATGCACACCTTAAACCAGACAAAAGTAAATGTGTATCTTTATAAGACGCAAAAGTAGGGTGTGTAGGCCTCACTAGCTGCTGAAGCTAACTATCCAACCAACTAAACAGTCCACAATAAAACTCAAAATGTTGCTGACTCTCATGAAGTTTTCTGAGGTTTCTTTTTTGTGAAACTGAAAACAATTACAAAAAGGTCCTTATTAATAAACACAATAAGGCAGTTGACTGTGCATGTCTACACATGTTAAACCAGCTAATGTAGCAACACAGAGCGAGCATACAGGATCTTAAACAAATGAATAGTAAAGTTAACACTAGCTTAGCAGTTAGCATCTATATAGAAACAAAACACGTCCTTTCTAAAATGAATACACATAGTATCAACGTTTATAATTACAGACGTTGCATTAGCGTGCAGGAGTAGAAGAAACATGTGAAACTACTGAGCTATCGAAAGTGCTGCAGCCAACTCACTGGCTCATGGTCTACTATTTAACTTTCAGTGGGCCGTGGGCCAATCGTTCCGCTTGGCTTGCTTGTCTTTCAAGAGAACGACATCCCCTACTTGAATGTTAGTGCTTCTGTCTTGCCACTTGTGACAAAGTTGCAGTCTTCTGAGGTACTCCCGTCTCCACCTGGTCCAAAAGATTTCTGCCAGGTTTTGAACCTGTTTCCATTCTTCCCTAAAAAGTTCTGTCCCCTCAAAGTTGCCTGGAGGAGGAGGAGCAGAGTTAGTTTTCAGGGTGAGAAGCATGGCTGGAGTGAGGATGAGAGGTGCCTCTGGGTCTGATGACACTGGGACAAGAGGTCTTGCGTTCATGACTGCTGCCACCTCAGCCATCAAAGTTGTCAGAACCTAATGCGTAAAATGTGAGTTCTTCAGATCCAGCAACATACAGTCCAGAATGCAACGGGCAACACCAATCATTCACTCCCATGCTCCACCCATATGGGATGCATGAGGCGGGTTGAATACCCAAGTACATCCCTGTGTACTCAGGTACTTGTTCACTGTTGACGATGGACTTGTGCAGTCTATGCCTAACTCGCCAACAAAATTAGTGCCACAGTCTGACTGTATTTGTTTGGCGGGTCCTCTGACTGCGAAGAGCCTCCTCAAGGCATTGATGAAGCTGCTGGCACTCATAGTCTCAATAACTTCGATATGCACAGCTCTGGAAGACATGCATGAGAACATTACAGCCCATCTTTTCGGGTTAGAGTGACCTACTCTTGTTCGCTTTGAAACGATGTCCCATGGTCCAAATACGTCAACACCTACGTAGGTGAAAGGCGGTGCAATCTGCAGACGTTCGGCTGGTAAGTCTGCCATTTGCTGGTGTTGTGGCTTCCCTCGCAGCTTTCTGCAGGTGACACATTTGAAGAGCAGACTCGTAATGCAACGCTTTGCTCCTACAAGCCAAAATCCAGCAGCACGGATTGCACCTTCTGTAAAGTGCCTCCCTTGGTGTTTAACAGCTCCGTGATAGTGGTTCACTAGAAGAACTGCCAGATGATGAAGGCCAGGAATGATGATGGGGTTCATCTCATCTGTGCTGAGATCAGACTGTCTAACGCGCCCTTCAACTCTCAAGAGACCATCATGATCTAGAAAAGGATGCAGCTTCCACAGGCTGCTGGAGGATGGAATGTTAGCCCCTGAGGCTATGCATTTGAGCTCTTCTGCATAGCTTTCTTTCTGGACACTCTTCACAATATACACTTTAGCTCCCAACAAGTTTTCCTCCCAAGGACAACAGATGTGCCACCGTCGACATTTGTCTTGGACAGGAGCAGAGAGAAATGAGAAAGAGCGAGCTATGTGGATAAGTTGTGCCACTGCTGTGAGGAGAGCGTTAAACTTTGAGAAACGTTCAAAGCGTTGAGGATGCAATGCGTTTCCCTCTGGAACATGTGTTAGATTTGTTGTTACCTGGTGACGTATCTCAGAATCGGACTCAGGATCAATGAGGTCGTAGGTCTGTTGAGGCTCAGATGGTTACGAGACTGCGTCTCGCAGAAAATCTGGTCCTGTGAACCATGGTGTGTTGCTTAGGAGGGCTGGCGGAACAGATCTTGATCCAATATCAGCTGGATTTAAGTCAGTGCGGACGTACTTCCACTGATTGGGATATGATGACTGCCGGATACGTTGAATCCTGTTATGCACGTATGCATAAAACCACCGTGACTCATTGTGGGTGTATCCAAGTATGACCTTGCTGTCTGTGTAGTATGTGACATCCTGGAAGGTCACATCCATCTCTTTAACTATGAGCTCAACAATCTCCACGGCAAGCACAGCTGTGCATAGTTCTAGTCTCGGGATGGTTATGTCGGGCTGAGGGGCTAGCTTTGCCTTGCCAAAAACAAGAAGCAGGAGTGTCCAAGTAGGATAAACCTGGAAGGTAGCCGTCCAGCTTAGCAGCTTCCAGCTCTGATAGCAGGTCTGCCAGATCCTGTAATCTATGTTGATCCTTTGTTGTGATCTTAGGGAAGCTTTCCAGTTTGCTGAAAAGAGCCTGTTGCACAGCTTCAGGTGAGCCTTACATTTCATCGGGTCGTTTCCAAGCCATGGTGAGTCCAGCAGAAATGTGGCTGATATTAACTGCTTTAATTCTTTTAACCTGATTTGCTGAGTCTTTCCCAAGATATTTGATCAGCAGGTCCAACTCTTCTCCAGCTGTTAGACCTGAACCCGCAGTGGCAGTGTGAAATGATGTCTTTCACACCCTGTAGTTTAATGGCTGGTCATCATATTGAGTGAGTCCTGATGTCACTAAATGGCTGCGTGCAAGATATTTGGCCAGATCAGAAGTGGTCTGAGAATGGCGATAACCTACTTCATAGGGCATTCCATGAACAGGTTGATGCATGGTAAATGGTGAATGCTCATTTAAACTCTGTGATGGTGATGCTCCGTTAAGCGGAGGAGGTAATGAAGATCTACCGTGAGGTGGGAAATGAGCGGCAGCAGTAGTTGGAGCTTGGTTGATGTTGTGTGGATGGGACAATGTTGGTGTTTCATAGTCCATCTTAACGTCACGTGACTCTTCTTTCACAGGGAGAAGAGGTGGTGTTATGTGGCCACTCAGAATTGTAGCAGGATGATTTACGGAGTGCATGCTGGCTTGGTCCGACACATTGGCAGCTGTGCGTTGATCTTGACTATCCTTGAGGACTGGACTGCAAGACCTGCTACGTATAATCATTGTTCATGTCTAACAAATCAGCCTCCAACGTATTTGTTCCTGCTAAAGCAGCATCTTTTCCTTTTCTTCATTTAATGCATCAAGAGTAGCTTGAATGCGTGCTTCAGCGGGAGAAACTTTGGGTGAAGTGTCTTACCCAAGGACACATCGGACATGTTGCTGCAGGAGCTGGGAATCAAACTCCCGACCTTCTGGTTGAGAATTGGTCAACTCTACCAACTGAGCCACAGCCACCGTCCCCCCAAAATACAATTTTTCTCCTAAAGTCACTGAATAAAGTACCAACAAAAATGAAAGAGGAAGTAACTAAATAAAAAACATTGCCCAATAAGTTGGTTTGAACTTCAGTTCTGCCTCGGACATGTGTAGTCAATTACCAATCATAGTTTATCATTATGGGGTACCACTTGGTGTGGCCAATGATATTTCAGGGAGTGGCCCAAGCAATGCCCTAGAGACCCTGAGAAACACCACTGTCTGTATATCTTGAGTATTTGCTTATCTATCACATTATTTTCTTTGATGGTAACCGTCCAGTTGAATGCAAATGAAGATTAGCTTTAAGCGCTCTAGCTACTATAATACTTGAAATCTAATCAAGCATCTAATTCTCTATTGACAGGATAGCATGACATAAGAGTGGCACGTGATAGGAGCTCCTGATATGGATAAATTATAGGATGGCATCTTCCTAAATCAATGAAAGAGTTGCAGCAGCTCTTCATCATTATAAAGTCAGCCTTGTTCTTTTTTAATATTGAAAGCTTTAACGAGGGGTTAGACTGATGACAAGCAGCAAAAGTGTTTCCCTATGACCCGGGTCAAACTAGCACTGCTGCTCCACTTCTATTCTAGTGCCATTGTGTCATTAAAAATGGAGCAGAGCGAAGGCAGGTCTCATCGTTGCTACCATCCCTCTGTGGAGTTCCTGACCTCGGCCGGCTAATAGCCCTCTGTTGCCCTCCCTGCTACTGATAGCTTTACTCTCTTTGCCTCTTGCCTCCCCTGAGTGCTGACCACTGACTTTTTTTTCATGTGACCCACTCCTCGGTCCAAGCGCTGTCATCATTCCACATAACTGCCAGCTCGCCTTTCTCACATTCATCTGTCTGCCGCTGGTATATGATAAAAGTCATCGCTCCAACCCTTAAAAAATGTCTTCGCTTTTCTTGTTTTATTAATGGCAAGACTCGACTGAGATTTAAAACAAAGCTAAATCAGGGTTGACACATTTCTTGTACACATTATTCGTGAGGGTTTCATGTGTTGTTTTTAATTACTCGCACTAAAACTGAAGGCAGATAGAAATATCTAAATTATGACCCAGAAACAAAGTCTTTTACTGGAGAGAAGTTAAGATGCAGAGACACTCTTTGTGTTGCTGTTTGGAGCTCAAAGCGTTACATTAATGAAATTATTAACTCCACATTGTGGAGGATTTATAACACCAAAGCAATCAGACCATTACTTGTAATTGGAAAATATATTGTAGCTATACCATGTGGAGCGCCTGTTTGATCAGAGAACTCCTTTGTTTCTGAGTTTGGTCACACTAAACAGGTAAACTGGGAACATCACTAAGGTGGTGATGATGACCCTCTAGAAGCGTTCCCTTCACGAATATACCTCCATAGCCCAAGGTCCCAAGAGCAGAAAAGTAGAGCTTGGATACAGACATAATACAAGAGAACATTTAGCTTTGTCATATAGTAGGTCATTTTCTTTGTTGCTGTACAAAACCAGACGAAAAGATAACTTAAACAAAGGCTTTAGACACGGTTCGTGTTACACTATAAGAGGAGGCCGACAGCATTAGTCCCACCAGTTGGAGATCATCTGTGGGTAACAGGTAAGTTTGATTCGGAGCTTATTTTTCCTAAATTCATGATTTCTAACAGGAGTCTGAACACATTTCAAAGTTGGGTGAAGTTTTCCCTCTAACACAAATTAACTATTACCTGTTTTGTTTTTTTCCACTCAAAGCTAAATCAATGTGACACAGTGGATGAAACATTGAAGTAAGGTCTTAATGTTTTATTTATTTAATTAATAGACCATTACCTGTCTGTAAACGCATCTAGCCGTTTATTCCTGTTTAAAAAACTGAAAAGTGTGGATGTTTTTCGTTCTTTATTAGTTCAAGATAGGGAATTTTAACAAAAGCTTGAAACATTTCACCCAAAGAAAAGCCTTTATATGTCATGCATACTTCAGTAAGGGTTAAAATGAGACATTACACAAAAAGGTATTACAGCTGAAAAGTTGTGTAACTTATGCAAAGTGGGTAAGAAAATTGCAACACTACCATAATTTGGGATAATGTGTACAATATCCTTTGATTTCACACGGGGGGAATGGATGTTATTTGCATTAACAGAGTCATTAATTCCATTATTAGAGTGTGTACTTAGTATACAGTATATGCCACTAAAAGGTACTTTTTTGTTTCTGTACAACAGATGATTTGCAAAACTATGAATCTACTGCAAAGGACTACTGTGCTGTTGATTTTGGCTTTTTCAGTATCAGGTAAGTCCCTCGATCTAAAATCCTAATTCTGTGGTGCAAATCGAAAGGAATAAACTTCCGTCTTTCTTCTGAATTGACTTGGGATTTTATAAAACAATATTTTGCATTGAATGTAAAAAACAACTAAACTTAATTCATAAACTGAAAGGATGTCAAATGAGACTAATTCATGTTTTCTTGATGTCTGCAGAGACATTTGCAGCAAGGATCATTGGAGGTCAAGAGGTCGCACCATACTCGAAGAAATATCAGGCCTCCCTGCAGTATGGGGAAAGGAGACACTACTGTGGAGGAACCTTAGTGCACCCTATGTGGGTGGTGTCTGCTGCCCACTGCTGGAGACCGTGAGTACTTACACTCAGTGTCATTCATAAACACAGCTGCTTGGAGCAACTGAAGGTTTTATATTCGTTTAGGGAACTAAACACAAATTAAAAAATGTCAGTTATATGTAAAATGTATGGAAGATGTACTCGGTGAAATGTTAATTCAATAAGATTGTACGTACTTATAAAAATATATTTCACAACCGTGGGGAACTTTTTCAAACACCTTGTGTCTGTTTTCTCAGGAGCAGTCTGGTAAAGGTGGTGCTATGTGAACACAACCTGAATAAAAATGAAGGATTCGAGCAGGTCATTGATGTCTCAGAGATATTTGTCCACCACTTTAATCCCAAGACATTCAACAATGACATCATGCTCCTCAAGGTAGGCAGAGGAACAGCCACTTGTATTTATTGATACCATACATTAAGTTCATGACACAAGCTAAATCAACATATTGAGCTACTCATTAGATAATCACGCATGCAGACACTAAAGCAGTGGTGTCCAAACTTTTTTTCTTGCGAGCCAAAATTGTCATGTTAGAATCGCTCGCAGGCCACAGGTTTTGTTTTTTTAAATATAGTTGAAAAAATAGTAAGGCTTTGTAGATCAGAATCAAAAGGCTCGCTAAAGAAACCTTTTAATAAAAGGAAATCAAATATTTTGATTTCTTCGTTCTACTTTATTTGTTTTTTTCTCAGAATCAAGCCAGTAACGTGGTTCATTTTTTTGGAAAAGCTTTCTGCATTTAGCTCAGGTCAGTAAATGGTTAAACAACAGTCCGCTTGTTTGCAAAAACTTTGCACAAGTTTTTTTTCATATTTTCCAAAATATGTGGAAAATAGTTAAAGCTGTAGATTTAAAAAAACAACAACAACATACATGTTACTGAACATTTTCTATTTTAGGAATATTGTTCAGCCCTTGTTAACATGAAAAAGAAAAATAAGATAATGTGCCGATCTTAATCAAGGCCTTGGGCCAAAATCTTCTGATTCTTCATTTGAAGTCAAGGGTCGCAAAAAATCCCCTCTGTAATCTGGTCATGGCAAAAAGGTTACTGATCAATCGAGAAGAGATTAAATGGTAATGATTTGTCAGATTTAGTTATTTTCTGTGATTTACAACATGGAACACAGACATTGTTTTGAGTGAGGCGTCTAAGAAAAATGGCCACCGTTTGAATGTGGTCAATGATCCCTTAACTTTTGTTTGTATTACAGCTGAGTCGGCCGGCACTGCTGAACAAGTGGGTCCAGCCAATTCCTCTGCCTGATCAAAACACTCCACCACTTACTAAGGACGTCTGCACAGTGAGCGGCTGGGGTGTGACAAACGTTTACAGCTACACCCTTTCTCCTGTGCTACGAGCTGTGGATGTGTCAATAAACCCTTACTGCCATTATTACTACTGGCGGATGATTACTCCAAACATGCTGTGTGCTGGATCACGATTGGGTGGAAAAGATTCCTGTCAGGTACAGACTTTGTTTTCTTTTTCTCCTGATTTATGTGTTTATGTTATCACCATAGACTGTAGAAATATTGGATGAAGCCAATCAACCATTGGTTGTTGACAGTTGAAGCCTTGAGGTTTGCATTCTCGCCGTCACTATGTCCAAAATTTGCATAAAAATATCTTATCAACCTGCAGGCGGCTAGCAGCCCCCACCTGTTACTTAAAGATAAAGATAAACTTTATTGATCTCCCATGGGGGAAATTTTTGCGTTACAGCAGCTCAAAACAGGAAACAGGAATATAATTTAAAAAATAAAAATAGAAGTTAAAAATCAAACATATTTACACAAGTTAAATAAAAAATACAATAATATATATATATATATATATATATATATATAATATATATATATATATATATATATGTAAATAAAGCAATTAAATCAACCCCTTATTGTGGTTAACTTTAAGCATAAATATGATTGAAAAAGAGTCTTGTAAAAAATTAACCCCTGTACAGTTGTCCTGATGAGAAATGAGCTACAGAGACCAGGATTTTTTCTTTTTTACCAGGCAGTAAATGTGTGTTTAATTCAGCTGTAAAGTTGGGTACTTACTTCTGGAGCTAGCCTAAAGCTGACATTGTAGGAGCTACAGTTTTTGGCGTCGCTGCATTGGCTTCTGGCGAAGAAATTAACTTGACTTTCACCACTTACGCTAATACCCCCTTCATAATTAGTGCTCTTTACACTGTTTGTCTTATTTCATGACAAACTAGCATGTTTGTTAGTTTTTACATGATGTATTTCTTTAATGTATGTACAATAATGTAATGGCTATCCATATACTGGTCGATTATCATTTAATTATACCGCTAACCTTTAACTGAGGTTCATCGTTTTGTCCATATATGACAACTTTCGGTCCCACATAACCAAATCATTGGCCAAACTGTTGAGGCTTCAAAAGCACAAACCAATTAGTATTATTACCATACAACATCCACTTGTTTCATACAGTCTATGATTTCATGACAAATGCACTTGTTGAGATCTTTGCGTCTGGATTCAAAGTGGCGAAGCGACCATACCTAAAGCTACATTGCTTCAATGGGTGAAGGTAGCTACTTGGTCAACTTTGAGGCACTGACAATCATGTCTATTAATATGATCTATACAGATAATACTGTAAATTAGAGAATACCCTTCAAGACTGGAATTGAATAAATCATTCATCATCTCTGATTTGTGATCCACAGGGCGACTCTGGTGGCCCCCTTATCTGCAATGGACACTTTGAGGGCATTGTCTCCTGGGGTATCAGCTGTGCAAACCCATACTTTCCAGGAGTCTACACCAGAGTGAGGAAATACATCAAATGGATAAACTGGATTATCGAAAATAAAACCTGAAGGGCCCCAACATTTCTTGATGAGCATCTTATTCACGGCAATAATACCTCTGTCTGTTTATTTTGATTAAATACTTTCCTTGTGTTTTAAGCAGCCAGGGTTATTTTTTATTTTCTTGTAGATGTCAGGTTTCATTGAAATGTATTATTATGCTTATAATTCATTCATTTTAAACATTCAATACTCCGAAAGAGAGACATTTCTCGATACAGAATCGAGCTAATTATTTTCTCTATTATCATTATCATCAATATTATTTTTAGTGGTAGTATTTCAGTAATAATAGCGAAGGTATTGAGTTGCATTGATGACTAGAGCTGGGCAATAAAATTAAAATCAATAACAATATTACATTTTCACTCAACACCCTTGTATCATTTCTTTTTACTCACCTATAAAATCAAATCAATATCATTTTTTTCCATGAAGAAAAATATGATGATCAATTAAAGCTCTAGAACTGCTGTTTGTCACTATTCCTGAAAGGTTTCACACACACACTTTTGCTTCATCAACATAAGAACAAAACATAGCAATAAAAAGATTTTCAAATGGCATATCACAAGAATCTTAATCTTTCTTACAACGTAAAACGTGGACCAAAAGTCTTTGTCATGGGCCCTACAGGTCAAAAAATAATCTCCTCAGAAGTAGTTCATAGTAGGAGACGTCCTTATGGAAAAGAAAGAAACAGTCTTCACCAGTAAATAAATACCTCACCTCCTTAATTAATGTGTTTTTCCATGCATGACATATTTCGTTTACCAGGCTGACGAACCTTTGCATATCAAATTCAAATTCAAATTCAAAAAACTTTATTTGTCCCCGGGGGGGCAATTCAAAGGCACACAGAGCAGTAAATTAACAACAGTGCAAGTAGACGAAACATTTTAAACCTAAATATAAAGTGTCAATTTAAATACAACTTAAAGCTTAAACGTAACTTAAAAATACAAAATATAAAAGAGTAGATATAAGTGGACAGTGATCGGACTAACAGATGTAAACAGAACTATGTGCAGTAAACAAGAAATAAACATATATATACAGAACTATGTGCAAGTAGGCAAATACTAAATGATAAGTTAATAAGGTGAATAATGGAACAACAGAACTAATATATACAATATAACTGTAAAGGTAAAAATGAGATAAATAAAGTGACCGTAGTGCAATGATGGATAAGAAACAACAGGAATAAAGTCACCAGAACTGGATGAATACTTAAATAGAAAGGATAGATTAAAGTGATGTAGTGCATTTCTTCATGTACTTTCACATTAAGCAGCCATTTTGTCTAATACAACTACACAGCCTCATAGTATAGTAAAGCACTTGCACTAAAATTCCCTTTACAATGTTAAAACAATCATTTGGTAAAGAGCATAGACTGTAAAGAGCAACTGAAGAGAAAAAAGAGGAGTCTGTATTTGGGTCGTCTGTCATTCTTGCGCATGCGCAGTCACATCTATTTTGTTTACACAACACTGTCCTTGCCAGAGAAGAAGCTGAGGACTCCCTGACACAGGTGGACTCATTTAACAGCTTAAGTTACCTTTACCGGGTAAATTATGTCTGTGAAACACGCTTTAACACGGGGGCTCGAGTTGGGCCGGTCGGTCTTTCAGCTGGGTCTCCTTAAATCGGGTGGCCGAGTCGTAGCAAAGCTCCGAGCTGACCGTTTCCGTGTAGGCCCGTCGGTCCGCACCGTCCAGCCTCAGGCTTTCCTGCCGTCTCGGTACCGGTATTATCGCACCTCTCTGAAGGGCCTGGCCGCTCAGCTTCAGTCCGCCGGATTCAGGAGGAGGTTTGGCGGAGGGTCCCCGAGGAACAGGGCCGTGTTTTTGGCTTTCGGTCTCGGCGTTGGGCTCATTGAACAGCAGCTGGAGGATGACAGAAATAGTGCGGCGACATGTCAGGAGATCCAGGTAAGAAGCACCAGGTAAACAGTGGCGCGGAAAGACTACAAATGTAGTTTTAGAGTAGGCCTACTTGTACTTCATTTGAGTTTTTCAGTTCACCGCTTTTTATACGGTGGCCCTGAAGTGCAAAACACAACAACAAATAAGAAAACACAACGATAAATCACAAAACACAACAACAAATCAAAAAACACAACAACAAATAAGAAAACACAACAACAAATCAAAAAACACAACAACAAATAAGAAAACACAACAACAAATAAGAAAACACAACAACAAATCAAAAAACACAACAACAAATCACAAAACACAACAACAAATAAGAAAACACAACAACAAATCACAAAACACAACAACATTAACTTTAACAGAAAAGGTACCTGCAGTCGACAAGGATCGTCGCTGATTGGACGAACACAATTTCCGTCTTTTTAACTGGAAGTAAATGCTCTGAGGGTTTTTTGATTTGTTGTTGTGTTTTCTTATTTGTTGTGTTTTGTAATATGTCGTTGTGTTTTCTTATTTGTTGTTGTGTTTTCTTATTTGTTGTTGTGTTTTCTTATTTGTTGTTGTGTTTTCTTATTTGTCGTTGTGTTTTCTTATTTGTCGTGTTTTGTGATTTGTCGTTGTGTTTTCTTATTTGTCGTTGTGTTTTCTTATTTGTTGTTGTGTTTTCTTATTTGTCGTGTTTTGTGATTTGTGGTTGTGTTTTGTGATTTGTCGTTGTGTTTTCTTATTTGTCGTTGTGTTTTCTTACTTGTTGTTGTGTTTTCTTATTTGTTGTTGTGTTTTGTAATATGTCGTTGTGTTTTCTTATTTGTTGTTGTGTTTTGTAATTTGTCGTTGTGTTTTCTTATTTGTCGTGTTTTGTAATATGTCGTTGTGTTTTCTTATTTGTTGTTGTGTTTTCTTATTTGTTGTTGTGTTTTCTTATTTGTTGTTGTGTTTTCTTATTTGTTGTTGTGTTTTCTTATTTGTTGTAGTGTTTTGTGTTTTCTTATTTGTCGTTGTGTTTTCTTATTTGTTGTTGTGTTTTCTTATTTGTCGTGTTTTGTGATTTGTGGTTGTGTTTTGTGATTTGTCGTTGTGTTTTCTTATTTGTCGTTGTGTTTTCTTACTTGTTGTTGTGTTTTCTTATTTGTTGTTGTGTTTTGTAATATGTCGTTGTGTTTTCTTATTTGTTGTTGTGTTTTGTAATTTGTCGTTGTGTTTTCTTATTTGTCGTGTTTTGTAATATGTCGTTGTGTTTTCTTATTTGTTGTTGTGTTTTCTTATTTGTTGTTGTGTTTTGTGATTTGTCGTTGTGTTTTCTCATTTGTCGTTGTGTTTTCTTATTTGTCGTGTTTTGTGATTTGTCGTTGTGTTTTCTTATTTGTCGTTGTGTTTTCTTATTTGTTGTTGTGTTTTCTTATTTGTTGTTGTGTTTTGTAATTTGTCGTTGTGTTTTCTTATTTGTCGTGTTTTGTGATTTGTCGTTGTGTTTTCTTATTTGTTGTTGTGTTTTCTTATTTGTTGTTGTGTTTTGTGATTTGTCGTTGTGTTTTCTCATTTGTCGTTGTGTTTTCTTATTTGTCGTGTTTTGTGATTTGTCGTTGTGTTTTCTTATTTGTCGTGTTTTGTGATTTGTCGTTGTGTTTTCTTATTTGTCGTTGTGTTTTCTTATTTGTTGTTGTGTTTTCTTATTTGTTGTTGTGTTTTGTAATTTGTCGTTGTGTTTTCTTATTTGTCGTGTTTTGTGATTTGTCGTTGTGTTTTCTTATTTGTTGTTGTGTTTTCTTATTTGTTGTTGTGTTTTCTTATTTGTTGTGTTTTGTCGTTGTGTTTTCTCATTTGTCGTTGTGTTTTCTTATTTGTCGTGTTTTGTGATTTGTCGTTGTGTTTTCTTATTTGTCGTGTTTTGTGATTTGTCGTTGTGTTTTCTTATTTGTCGTTGTGTTTTCTTATTTGTTGTTGTGTTTTCTTATTTGTTGTTGTGTTTTGTAATTTGTCGTTGTGTTTTCTTATTTGTCGTGTTTTGTGATTTGTCGTTGTGTTTTCTTATTTGTCGTTGTGTTTTCTTATTTGTTGTTGTGTTTTCTTATTTGTCGTTGTGTTTTCTTATTTGTTGTTGTGTTTGTGATTTGTCGTTGTGTTCTTACTTGTCGTTGTGTTTTGCACTTCAGGGCCACCGTACTTTTAGCCACATTTAACTGACATTGCTACAGTTCTTCATTAAAGATATAGGATGATGATATTTGACATAGTAATGGTAAACTATACAAAGTGGAAGTCGTTAGGACCATTACAGTCGATCTATGGTTAGGACACTTTCCCCGTCTTCACCTCTGTTGTTACTATGGCAACCACAGACAAATTCGACTTACAGCTTCAGTTAACATGGTCAGTCGTTAAATTATGACACCTGCTAATATTTTACATGCAGAATTTATAAGCTTGTAAAATATTGTAAATGTAAACATGTAGCATCAATGAACATAGTTCTATTTAAGTGTTGCAACAATAGCAAATTGTATATATAGAGAGATTATAAGGAACACAGGAAGTTAATTTAATTTAATAAATATAATTATTGAGTTGTGGAAAAGGGGTAGGATTAAATAAGTTTTATACTTCTTCCTACTCCTTTTCAGGCATATCAATTGAATATATGTAATTTGCTTTTTCTTTCTTTGTGGAAGAATTTGAACATGTTTTTTGTTTATTGTATTTTCGTGCTTTCCATTTTGTTTTGTATTTTTGACATGTTTGATTTTATTTGATATGTCTGAAATAAATTTAATCAATCAATCAATCAATCAATCAATCAGTCAACAACTATAGCAAAGCAAAAACACGTTGCTTGCTAATAACACATTATTATCCCATGAACTAAAGTAGGCGATAAAGTTACCAAACAATATTTTGATTTTTCATTTTATTACATAAAGGACCATTTAGTAATGTCCAGGCAATTTACCACTGAGGTATTGTAGCTCTTTTCTGGTGTTATTCTGCACCACTAGCCATTTGTTTGATTTATAATATCACTATTTTGACAAGACCCAGTGATAGATACCGTAATTTAACTGTACAACATGTTTAGTACCTATTGAGACATTTTTAATGCTGCAAATATGATGCAGTTAAAGTACAGAAGATGCACTTTGGCTGCTGACCATACAATTAGTATGCACAATTTTACAGTCATGTGTTTAGTTTAGACCAATAAAGTATTTCTGCACTTTATTTTTTTCGGTTTAATAAACAAACAAATCATAGTCAATTATACATTAATTCGCTTTAAGAGCTTTAATCCAGTGTGTGGTCACTATATGTCTTTAACTTAATCTTTCAAAATGGGATGTGCACACAACTATTTTCATGCTTTACAATTATTTTCCTCCCCATCTGCAGGCAGTGTTCAGCAAGAAGAGATTCCAGAGCCCACTCAAGCCATTCGTTTCTGGCTATAAACTGGAAGATTACATTATTGGGAATCAGATTGGGAAAGGCTCCAACGCCGCTGTGTACGAGGCTGCAGCTCAGTTTGCCCCAAAGAATGAGAGCAACAGCAGGGACGCCCTACCTGCGGTACAGCTGAGAGAAGAGGAGGAAGAAGAAAGAAAGACAGCTCATCTCTGTCATGCTGCTCCCTCAAAACCTTCCCTCTGGCAATCAAGATGATGTGGAACTTTGGGGTTTGTAGTCTACACTATAGCACTCTTTAACAACAATTTAAGCATCAGGCTTGTGTGGATTACAGGCACACATGAGTACTGACATGTATTTGTTGGTGCCATTTGTTTGCAGGCAGGGTCGTCAAGTGAGGCAATATTGAAATCCATGTCCCAGGAGCTGGTGCCTGCAGCTCCTCTGGCTTTAAAGCAGGAAAAAGAACTTATCGCTCTGGATGGGTGAGTTTTTTTTTTAGACCAGCAGTGCTTTCATAGCTAAGTCATTGTCTCTACTAAAAGGACAGAGTGTAGGAATGATGCGCATGTATGTCTGTGATCTCTCTTTAGTCATTTTGGAGTCCTGCCCAAAAGAGTGTCAGCACACCCTAATGTGATCAGAGTGTACCGGGCGTTCACAGCGGACGTCCCACTGCTGCCAGGTGCACAGGAAGAGTATCCAGATGTCCTACCATCCAGGCTTAACCCTGCTGGCCTGGGCAACAATCGAACTCTTTTTCTGGTCATGAAGAAGTAAGAGCTACCATCTTTAAACACCAGGAAAGAATGGAGTATATGTATATATATTTATATATATATATATATATATAAGTGTATAAAAAAAGAGTATTCTAATGCTAATTCGAATTCTATTAATGTACAATAATAGGGTTATGCATATTATTCATACATCACCTTTCAAACCAAAGTCACACTATGCTCTGTAAGACAATAAATAGATAATAATACCACACTAACCGAGACAAAGACACACCCGGGACCAGAGTGCTCTGAGACCGAGACAAGACTGAGACATTCAGGCCGTAACATCGGGAAGGTTGCAGCCGTAACCCGGGGACAAAAATCAAACTTCAAATGAAGTGAAGTTGTTGTTTGTTTTTTTTAGAAAGAGGTGCTTTCCTTCTAATCACAGAAATGTTGTGGAGAAATAGCCAATCAGTGGTGGTCTTGCCTGTGGTTGATTTAAAATCTGGAGTCCGCTCAGTCCAAGACCGAGACAAGACCGGATAAAACTGCTTTTGATTCCGAGACGAGAACTTCAAAAAGTGGTCTTGAGACCAACACTAATGCATATAAGAAAACCAAAGCCATCCAGCTAATTAGCTTTCTGTCTCTTTCTGTGCTCTAGTTACCCCCGTACGCTGCGACAGTACCTGGAGGTGTCAACGCCGGGCCGCAGGCAGGGCTCTCTGATGGTGCTGCAGCTCCTCGAAGCCGTCGACCATCTGTGCCGACAGGGTGTCGCTCACAGAGATCTCAAGTCGGACAATGTGCTGCTGGAGTTTGACTCTGGTGAGACAAACATTCCTTCTTTAAGAAATCAATATGAGATGTGATGCCATTAGTTTCACGTTACATTTATGTTATTTTCTTTTTTTGCAGATGGTTGCCCTCGTTTGGTGATTTCAGACTTTGGCTGCTGCCTGTCTCAGAGTGACTCCAGTCTGCAGCTGCCATTCAACAGCATGTGGGTCAGCAGAGGAGGGAATGCCTCCCTTATGGCCCCTGAGGTATGTTTAAGTAGCTCTTTACTGTGGTTAAGTAAAAGAGGAATGTCTCGAGTTACTAAGATGTCTTTAATGGCCCCTCCACAACTTGAACTTGGTCGATTGTGAATAAAGTTGCAGTGCATTATCAGCCACAATCACGGCTGATAATGCACTGCAATTTAATGTGGTGCAGTAAATCATTATACTACATAAATATGCAGGAAATTAGACTGAGAAACCAAAAAAGAATACATTTTAAACAACTCTTTGTACAATAATATAATGCACTGGTAACCATACTTTCTACACATTTAATCCCCATCATCACTACCTGTCTGCCCAAAGGTGACCACTGCAGTTCCTGGGCATGGTGTTGTGATTGACTACAGCAAGGCGGACGCTTGGGCCGTGGGTGCCATCTCTTATGAGATCTTTGGGCAGCAGAACCCGTTCTATCGAGGATTGGGACTGGAGAGCAGGAGCTACCAGGAGAAGCAGCTTCCAGCTCTGCCCTCTTCTGTTCCAGCTGATGTGCAGTTAGTGATCCGCTTACTCCTCAGGAGGAACCCGAGCAAGGTGACGCATGAGAGTTTTCTAAAAGATTTGTTTTGGACATAGGTTGCCGCATACCAGAATCTTAAACTTCCATACAATTGTAGTAAAAATTAAATGATATTGATGCCTGTTTCCTCGGCACCCAACATTGGGTGACTTTTTTTGTTTTTAATATCAAAAAATGCAGGAAATCTCCTGCACACTGTCTGAATTGTAAATATATATTGGCAACATTCTGGTTCTGAGACATTGCCAATGCATTTGTACAATTCGGACAATGCTCTCTCCCTCTCATTCACCAGTGGCCAGTTTTCATTGGGCGAGAGGCGGGGTACAACCTGGACTGTTCACCAGTCAATCACAGGGCTCTCATATAGACACAGACAAGCAGCCACACTCATACCTACGGGCAAATCAGAGTCACCAATTGACCTAACAAGCATGCCTTTAGACTGTGGGAGGAAGACCGGAGTACTCGGAGAGAACCCATGCATGTACAAAGAGAACATGCAAACTGAGGAAAATATTCTGTTCTTTTGTAGCTTACTGTAGCACCAGCTTTGTCAGCCATTGAATACTGGCTAAGAAGCATACCAGGAGCGATATCTGGGCCATTTCCCTAAAAATAAGCTTGACAGGAGCAGTGAGATTAAACCCAAAACAAGAAAGACATAAATGTAAAGCGCGGCACTTGTAAGGCAATACATATCTTCGGGGTTTCACCATTGACTGATGTGGACGACGTGTCTTTTACCACCTTTTCTTGTCCAAAAATGAAGTAAAAATCCCCCCAAGACGGGCCATGACATTGATCTGGTGATGTCATTTGAATCTTAGAAATGGGCAAAAGGGATTTGGCTGGTGGAGATGTGGAATTCATGTCCCGCCCCTTCCACTGCACACATTTAACTCTCCAATAAAATGTCAAAGATCTCTTCATTACAGCCCACAGCAGAACACGTCAGACAGTCACGGTTTCTGGAAAGTTCAAGGACTCTGGTGTTAGAATTTGTCACGCCACTCCTCCTCTTCTCTCTCTGAGCGTCATTTCATACTAAAATATTAATCTGCGTAGCTTCAGAAATTCACTTAATTTAACAGGTAAGAGAACATTAAAAGGTACTAACAACCTGAAAACCTCTTTCATGTTCTCTTGTTATATTTACTCTGCAGCGCCCCAGTGCCCGTGTGGCCGCTAACATGCTACACCTTAGCCTCTGGGGACGGAAGGCTCTGGCCAATCAGGACGGCGCGGGGATGAGGAAGCTTGCTGATTGGCTGCTCTGTCAGTCTGCTGTGGTTCTCCTGAAGGGCTGCAGCGGCCCCAGCGGGACGAGGGTGGAGGCGGAACTACAGAGGAGCTTCCTGTCGAATCTGGACCTGGAGGACCTGCGTACCGCTGTGGGCTTCCTACTGTATGGGCGGGAGCAGCATCAGGCCTGCATACTGTCGGCATAGATTCTGTCTTTCAGACACTAAGCTTTATGGGTAGACTCAGAGCATAGGCCTCAAAACTTGCTTCAATTTCTCAGTTAGAAATATATTTGTAGTAGTTATGGACATAGCCGTTACATCTTAAGGCTAGTAAGGTAAAATCCCCTGACGCTGTACTCTTCCACTGTTCTCCATCATGAGTGATAATCAGTGTTTTCCAGCAGTTTCTAAACTGTGTAATTCTTCTTTGTGGGTTTCCTGATTCCACCTAATCCAATTCTGCTGAAATTACATTTCATCAGGGTTTTCTGACAATACTCAGCAGCAGCAGCAGCAGGAGTTTAAAGAAAGGGAATGTGGGCACCTATTTGAATCGTGTCCTGTGTGTGCTTTGCATCATGGACTATTGAGACTATTGTTTATGGAGAGGAAAAGAAATGTTGTTTTTTCTAACCCAACTACAGATAATTACATTTTGCCCTGATGTGTGAGGTACTAATAGCTGCAGATATTTCTGTTATAAGAGTGGATGTTTTCTCTCACAAACTGATGCACTTTATTATTTTTTTTTATATTTGCTAGAAAAGAAACATCCACCCTTATGCAGTTGTTACCTGTGTGATCAAGTTCAAAATGTGTCTGTGGCTGCTGAGGTTTTGGACTCGGAAAGACGAATGCTAATGAAGATTTTTACAATTACCTGTAATCTACACTTTTTAGACCCAAGGACAAAATAAGGTTTGACAGATTCTCAGCCAAACTGTTGCCGGTTGACAGACATGGATCATGCAGATAACCGACCGACCCTTCAGCATGTTGTTTTGTCTTGTTTGTTGTTTGCACTTTAAGTCCATGTTTGCACTTTCAGAGCCATTTTCATGGTTTACTGGTGTTTGTTTGACGCCTGCTTCACTGAAATACCAATTATATTCTGATAATATTTTAAGTGAAATGCCAAATTTATATGAATTCAGGGATTACAGTGATCTGCTATCAGAGCTTATCACGTCCACATCATAATGTATAATTCAAAGAATACCCCAGTGGTGACATGTGATACCAGTCAAAGAGGGTGTAAGGTTTCATAGTAAAGATGGTGTGGAATATTTTTGGATTGAGTAGATTTTGCTGCTGTGTTTTTGGGAATAAACGCTTTTGAAAAGTCCTCAGTGTGAATTGTGCAAATCATTCATCTTAATCATTTAACACCAATTGTTTCTTATTATAAATCTAATGGATGTAATTAGTTTTCAAAAAGGTTTACGTTACCAGTGTGTGAGATAAAAAAATATAGTGTTAAGGTATTTCATTCACAAAATCTTCGTCACAAATGCTCATTAGAGTCAAAGGCTATGGAGAGCTGGCAGGACAAGCCACAGCAGAAACCTTAAAATGTAAAATATGGGACATTTTAAATTTAAGAAGAATTCAAAACATGGTATAAATACCACAAAAGCTGGCTTATATTGTTTATTTTTGCTGTACAGCTATGCTCCAAGTGTGTTACTGAAGGAACATGACTTATTCCCATATCACTGATAATTTATTCTCAAAGAAGGTTTGAAAAATGACACACAAACGACATTTTTTTTGGAGGATCTTTAATTAAGACAGAGCATTTGGCATGGAGATGATTTGTACTCTGAACATACCCAAGCAGGTATCTAAAAGACAAACATTTGTGGTTGGAATGTGATTAAGAACAAATGAAAATCATTTGTTTCTTGTGCTTTTTCTATCTTATTAATACTCCTCTCCTTCCTCCTCTCCCTCGCCTTCAATGGAGTCGACTCCGACCTCCTCGTAATCCTTCTCCAGGGCGGCCATGTCCTCTCTGGCCTCGGAGAACTCTCCCTCCTCCATACCCTCACCTACATACCAGTGAACAAAGGCACGCTTAGCGTACATCAGATCAAACTTGTGGTCAAGACGAGCCCAGGCCTCTGCAATAGCAGTGGTGTTGCTCAGCATGCACACAGCCCTCTGGACCTTGGCCAGGTCACCACCAGGAACTACAGTGGGAGGCTGGTAGTTGATGCCAACCTTGAAACCAGTGGGGCACCAGTCCACAAACTGGATGGAGCGCTTGGTTTTGATGGTGGCAATGGCAGCGTTTACATCTTTGGGCACCACATCGCCACGGTACAGAAGGCAGCAGGCCATGTACTTGCCATGGCGAGGGTCGCATTTGACCATCTGGTTGGCTGGCTCGAAGCAGGCATTGGTGATCTCGGCCACTGAGAGCTGCTCATGGTACGCCTTCTCCGCAGAGATGACGGGGGCGTATGTGGCCAGAGGGAAGTGGATACGGGGATATGGCACCAAGTTGGTCTGGAACTCTGTCAGATCAACATTGAGGGCGCCATCGAAGCGGAGGGAAGCTGTGATGGAGGACACGATCTGACTGATCAACCTGTTCAGGTTGGTGTAGGTGGGACGCTCGATATCGAGGTTTCTACGGCAGATATCGTAGATGGCCTCGTTGTCGACCATGAAGGCGCAGTCAGAGTGCTCCAGGGTGGTGTGGGTGGTCAGGATGGAGTTGTAGGGCTCCACCACAGCGGTGGACACCTGGGGAGCTGGGTAGATGGAGAACTCCAGCTTGGACTTCTTGCCGTAGTCGACGGACAGACGCTCCATCAGCAGGGAGGTGAAACCAGAGCCGGTACCACCTCCGAAGCTGTGGAAGACCAGGAAGCCCTGAAGACCGGTGCACTGGTCAGCCTGAGGACAGAAAGAGATAGAAAGTTAATTCATATGATAATGTAGGGTCTTTATAACAAAGAGGACAGTTCTCTATGTGATGTGGCTTTGATGGGACATCTTTTGTTCTGATTTGGCTTGATTGATTTGAGAGATTTGTGGAGTGGATTCCTTTCCAGTGACCCACCAGTTTGCGGATCCTGTCCAGCACCAGGTCGATGATCTCTTTGCCGATGGTGTAGTGTCCACGGGCGTAGTTGTTGGCAGCATCCTCCTTGCCGGTGATCAGCTGCTCAGGGTGGAACAGCTGACGGTAGGTTCCAGTGCGCACCTCGTCTAAGGAGATAATTTAGAAAATGACTTGATGGTTTAACTTAATTAAATGAAGAGACATCTAATGGTGTTATTTCATGAGAGTTTTACCGATGACAGTGGGCTCCAGGTCCACAAAAACAGCTCTGGGGACGTGTTTTCCGGCTCCAGTCTCGCTGAAGAAGGTGTTGAAGGAATCGTCCCCTCCTCCGATGGCTTTGTCGCTGGGCATCTGTCCGTCCGGCTGGATCCCATGTTCCAGGCAGTAGAGCTCCCAGCAGGCGTTGCCAATTTGGACTCCGGCCTGACCGACGTGGATGGAGATGCACTCACGCTGGTGGTGGAGCAGACAAAGAAGATTTGGATTAGAGGAGTTGAACCTTGAACTGCTAATAAGGAAAAGAGATTTTCCAGGAGCGCTGCTAATTAAAAGCGGAGGAACAGAAAAGATTTGTCAGGGCACGAATTAAAACCTCCCTCTCTTTGATGCCAAATTTCACTAAAAAAAAAAACGTTTTCTTGGAGCAATCCCTGAATGATGCTCGAGGAAACTGCAGATCACAGCGTATCGATTCACCAGCTTGTTTTCTGGGTGGTGGGGGACGCAGTTCCAATTGGGGGTCCAGTAAAATGTCTAGTACAGGAGCCCATCCTTTTTTCTGCTGCGACACAAGACTGTGTGTCTATTGCGCATGGGATTACTGGAGGGAGAGAGGATTATCTAGGTCAGACACATTGCAGCGTGCTGTCTCTTTAAAAAGCCTCATTTCCACAAAGGAATTTCCACCCAATTTAATTTATTTATAGTATAAATTAAAAAATATATATCTGGAGGTCTCTTTTCCTCAAGCACTGAAAAATGGCTATTTCATTTTCAGATTAAATAATCTCTTGCAAAGGGATCATGATGAATGATGACATACTTATATAACAGATATAGATGTACTACATTGATCTGAAGGCTAAACAAAGGGACAGGAATTCTTCACGTAGACTAACTGGTTAATTAGCGTGAAACCAGTGCTCACAGTGGTGTCTAAGCTCATTTACAAGAGCTATGTGGGAGAGGATTAAGGGTTTCTCGAGCAGGTACGCATCACACCACGTGAAAAACCTACATCGTTGTGTTTAAAAAAGGAATACAAGAAAAATGAATTAATTTATAGCCAGCACAGGCCTCGGAATAAAAACGAGACACAAAGGATAAGGTTGGATACACCTCACAAGAACGATCCCCTACGTCCCTTTTGTTCTCTCTCCTTCAATATAGGTCAGGCTGCGCATCTGGAAGTAAAATGATACAAAATTCCATATAATGTCGCACTTACCATGATGGCTTGTCGATATTATGCAATGTAATGTGACAAGCTTGAGTGAGGTGCGTTCAGTTCTGAGATGAGCGGCGTCTGAAGCGGTTCTGTTGCTGGAGCATCACAGTCTGCCTCCTCAGGACGACAGGTGAAGTGCGCACACAGAAGAAAAAGAAGAAAAAAAAAACTCCCACCATCACCCCTCCCCCTCCTGCAGCACGCAGTAACCGTTTCACATCCAGGAATGCCACCCACACCTACGTAACATGGGCTTCACGCTCATGTGATCAAATAGAGCCTATCAGAATACATAAGCATAATGTATAAACTTGTAATAGGAAGGTTATCATATATAGAGGCCTGAATATAGGAAAAGGGTGGTTGAGATGGAATTATTTTTTTTGGGTAATCAGAAGCAAAACAGTTGTAATGCAAAATCAATTATAGTCTCACTTGTGAATTTGTTAAATTATGACTTTACATGATTTTGCTTTACAATCAGCATTTTTTTAAATAACATTTCAACCCAAACTTCTGACTGACTGTCCCAAACAATAATCTCAAATAATATTAAGTTTATTTATAAGGCACATTTCAACAACAAGGCAATTCAGAGTGCTTCACACAAGACATCAACAAGCATCATGACAGAGGAAAGAAAATAAATATTAAAATAGAAAATTTAAAAAAAATCACTGAAATTATTAAATCTGAAAATATGTTCAAATACAAATAATTCAAATGAAATTAATTGAAATAAATAAATAAAAAATATTTAAAAAAGAGTTAAAAGTTATAGTGCAGAGATAAAGTTTAAAATCTTAAAATCTAATAATTCTAACATGTATGATGTAGCCCAACTTAAAAACTAGGCTACTATATCATACTATATTTTCAAAGAGTTGCCTGCTGCAAGATGTTCTCTTATCTAAGATAAATGTAGTAAAGTGGAAAAAAGGTGGCATAAATGAAATAGAGTAGAAATACTCTAATAATGAACAAGCACCCTAAATGTATAAACACAGCCTTCTATAGTAGGTCTAAATGTAGCCCACACAACTAGAAGGTAGTCAAATATATTTATTCCTTTATGTCAATTTTGTGTGTTTGACAGAGAAAGACATGAACTTGGAGAAGCAATTTAGCAAGGATGTTCTTTTTGTAAGAGTGGGGTGATAATTATAGGTTTGAAATGAAATGATGTAACTTTAAACCAATCATTCTTGTTTTCTTATTTCTTATGATATTTTGACGTAGGCTACTTGTAATCATCATTTTAACTTCATTCTTCATATGGTTTCATGAACTTGTTTTCTTGTCCCTCCCACCTGCTATGTTTACGGTCCAATGCTGCCTTCAACGCCAAAAAAACATGTCGGAACTTTGTAAATCACACGCAAGGACCCTCCAAAAAGGTTGCAAATGTAGACTCATGCCTCACCTAGAGTGACGTCATTCTGTTAAAATTTCCATTGACTATCAGAGATGGGATGATGTGTACAATTCTAACCTGGTGGATTTTTCCTATTTTCATTTCCCTTTTGCTGAAACATGTAAATTACGAGCTGGTGTTCTTCACCTGAAGTAACAGTAGAGACCCGTGTGATCACCACTCAGCAACTCCATATCAAACTTATGACTGTCCGCGAATATGTTTGCATTCTTCAGGAACCTTAATGTAACTCGCACTGTCGTTTCTCCGCCTTGCAGGGGGACAAAGGTGGACTTCTTCTCTCTGAGGACACGACAAAGTTTGACTCTGTGCAGGGAAGGACAGAGTGTGTGCACAAGTCCAAACCGAAAGTGTTCAGGGAGCCGCTACAATGTGCCTCCGAGCGCC